GCATTTCGACCTTGACACTTAGAATATTTCTGAAAAACAAAAAACTCAAGTTTCGCACTTGACTGTAAGAGAGATACATAAAGAAAAAAAAAAAAAAAAAGAAGGTAGAGGAAGCACTGGGGAAAGAGAGGGGTAGAGGCAGATGATGAATAAGAGAGATGTGTATGATACATATTCTTTATTAAATTTCAATATTAATACAATATAGGAATAAAAATAACTTTTATCATCAATAACTTAAATAGCCGAGCGGTTTAAGTGACCGCATACTCGGTGAAATCGCTCTGGAGGCAGGCACAAGGTGAGACGGATCGAATCCGGCTGAAGGCGACGACAACTCCGAAGCAGAAAAAATAGAGCATTGCTGGTGGCTGGCTGTTGGCGAGCGCAAAGCGTCCTGAAATGAACACACCAAGTGATGGTCAACCTGAGGTCCATGATGCGAGAGGTTACACGCAGAGAGACACATTGCGGAAGACGCATGCCGAACCCAGAAATATACCCAAAAACCACAACATGCGAAAAAAACACCAAAAAAGGAAAAAAAATGTGAAAAAAAGCGGAAAAAAGGGAAAAAAGGGAGGAGAGGAGGAGGAAGGAGGGGGTGGAGAGCCTAAAAAAACCCCCCTAAGTCCCAGATCAATTTTTCTCTTTTCTGTTCAGCGTTGAAACTTTTTTATGTTTTTTAGTGTTCCCTCACACCAATTCCCAAAGCCAACACTCGAATGAAATCAAGTCCACGTTGAAATTTTCACAACGAGAAAAAATTACTGGGACTTAGTTAAAATATTTAACTTTGCCCCAATAAAATTTTCTCGTTGTGAAATATTCAATGTGAGCCTCATTCATTCGAATGTTGGCTTTGGGATAATACAGCATGCAGAAATAACTCGTCTGTCTTAATTGAAAAGGTTTCAGAAAATTTGGACTTAGAAAAAAAAAAATTATCTGAAAGGACTTAGAAAAAAAAAAATTTTTTTCGAAAGAATTATATTCAGAAAATTTGGACTTAGAAAAAAAATATATATCTGAAAGGACTTAAAAAAAAAAAAATTATTCGAAAGAATTATAATCAGAAAATTTGGACTTAGAAAAAAAAAATTATTCGAGAGAATTATTTAATTAATCGATGAAATGAAATGATATTAATCGAATCAAAATTGTTTATATGACTTGATAAAACATGTGAAACCTTTACAATTAATCGAGACAAAAACAAATTTAGTTGACTTGAATAATATACAAATTATTAGAAAAAGCCATAAAAGAAATTCAATAAAACTTGTAAAATGAAATAATAAAAAATGTTCGAAAACTTGAACATTAAAAACTTCAAAACTGTTTAAAGCTGATTGTTTTTCTTTAGAAATCGAGTTAAATAATTTTTACAACTTCAATCGAATAATAAACTTGTAAACAAAATTATATTTTGTCTAATCATTCAAGTCAACTCTTCGAAACTTTGATTGCAAGTCTTGATCAAAATTGTTTTTAGCAACAAAAGAATAAAAATTTATCATTTAGCTATGCAGCGATATAATTGAATAAATTTAGAATAAAAGTACAGTTAAAACTTTTTAAAGCTGAATTTAATTAACGATTTGGTAAGTTGTATTAAATATTTGAAATAATTTGATCAAAACCAACAATCGTGTTATCCATAAATAAGAATGTACATGCAGTCAATATCGCTACAGGGAAAACACATGATTCTTGATACTGGAAATGTAATTTAAAAAACTGTTTCCGAAGAATAATGAACAAGAGGTGTCACAAAAAAAGAGATTTTTGTAACAAAGTAAATTTGTAATTTGTAATAAAATACCTTCAATTTAGGAGTTACCTAAGGAAGGATGCTAAGACCTCTTCAACAAATAAGTAATCGATGCTTACAAAAAGCTGTATTGGTTAACTAATAATTTGGTAACAAAAATTTAATATATAAGAATTTTGAATTCTACATAATATCAGCTCATTGTGTTGTTATAGAACAAAAGAATTTCTGATAGACTATTTATGGAATTGTAATCATATAAATTACTTTCAATGTCTTTGATACATAAGAGAAATATAAACTTTTTTCTTTTATATATATTTAAAACAAGTATAAAATGTATTTGTATAAATGTAAAAAAAAAAACTGAATCAACATGTTTTCCCCATAACAAATTAAATATGAACATAGTCTTTTATACATATGTCTGCCAAATTAATTTAAAGTCTTTTATTAGCATAATAGTTGTAGTTGAATAAACAAAGAATATATTGTAATTTACGCATTAAAAATTAATAAAGTAAATCTTATTAAAGAAAATGATATTGACTCAAATATAATAGTATAAACAATATTTTCAGCAGATATATGTATACAAGTATATTAATAATGCGCGAGCCAGAAAATATTTCACTAAAATATATACAGACTGCTTCATAAATGATATCGGATACGAAAGGCAAAAGTTCTCAAAGCATCTTTGAATTAATTTCATTTAATATGAAAAACAAGCATTAAATACATAACTATATAAGAAGTATTATTATTAAATACTCGGTCATTAATTGTAAACCTCTTTCAGAAAATAAATTATGAGTGTAAACATTTTCAAAAATATTTGACTGCTTTAAATTCAAAAATAAGAAAAACTTAATGTATATATACGCATATGTAGTACTTTATTTTAAATATTCAATATTTAATTCTTATGTATATATCTATATATATATATATATATATATATAGATGTAGTATGATAAATGCCTGTATATATCAGAAATATATTCTTTGATTCGCTTTGTATAAAACATGCTTTGCACTTACATTGTTAGAAATCCTCTACAGCGGCTCCCAGAACACTACTCGAACCACCTCTGGAGCATCTGCCAGAAATCTCAAGTACTCGACACAAAATCACTACTTTAGAACCACTACATAACTTTAGTCTTTTACAAGTCTATTCGACCTGTTGCAATTGTCCGAGTGAAGTCTCTACACAATACACGACACACGACTTACATTAGAGACTTTCGTGAATTTAGAATTCGATAATAAAGAGATATGTGTTGGAAGTACTCAAATATAAATTATACATTTTACAATTGCATATATATAAATAAAGGATACATTGGCGCTGTAAATGAATTAATAACCTACAAAAGCACATATATAAATTATACAAATTCACAATTACATGTATATATTTAAAGGATACTTTGGCGCTGTAAATGAATTGTTTACTTATTAAATTTGACTCAAAATGGAGGCCCTGAAAAAGATACTTATCAAACTATACAAGGCACTTCCACACACATACACTTTTTGGATTTTAATTAACGTTTCACGATAAATTCATTATATCAAAATGATCTACTAAATTAATTAAACGTTTTGATGCATAAATTAATTAAAACTAATCAAGGATTTAATTAAAAAAACGTTAATTAACCCTAACACATGTTAATTCGCGAAAATTTCTTTGACAATCGAGTGGCGATTGAAGTTGTCAACATGTGCCAGAATGGCTGTCACCTCTTGTGCAATTTAAAGCGCGAAATTCAAACTTGAAATTTAACTTCACCTATTTGAACATATACGGTAAATAACAAAGTGTAGATTTGAATATATACAGTAAAAAGCAAAGTGTGTACCCTTTGAATATGTGATAATTAAATTGTTTTTATTCTTGTCTAATTTTATAACGTTCTACAGCAACGCGATGTACTTTAAAATCTAATTAGAATCGAGAAATTTTTTGCCGGTGATAAAATTTTAAATCATATTGAAAAATATTGTATCAAAGCATTATTTGCAATTAAATTAACAAACTGATATTTATTTCAAACAAATCCATTGACTTTTGGTGAATTTCACAAATTTCCAATAGTTTAGCTATGAACCATTACCAATTGATAAAAAAATGTATCAACTGCTTGCTTTAAAATTTAAATTAATTGAATTAAAGTATAGTATAATTTTACACTTGTGTAAAAATTATATTAAAAAAATATTTAATAAAAATAAACATTTAAAAAATATTTTTACACAAATATGTATTATTTATTAGGATAAAGTTTAGGCTATATTTAAGGTCTGTTTTACCCGCTACATTTTTTTACTATTTATTTTTTTCCGTAAAATCTTGTTAGGATATATAAATTTTTAAAAAGAACAATGAATCTGTAATTAATAAAAAATATTTTTAGAAAGTGTAATTTATTTTATTAACTAGATTTTTTTATTAACAAATTATAAAAGATTTATTTAAAATGTACTTAAAATATAAATCAAGTTACCTATATATTTTTCTTTTTATTTCTAATCATTTTGCACTAAATTTAACTGAAGATGGCAAACGACTTTATGTCCAAAAATCAGGTAATAGAAAATTAATAAATATTTATTTTTGACTTTATACAAAAATGTATTAATTATTAGAACAAAGTTTAGGCCAGGGGTGGGCAAATACTTTAAAGCGCGGGCCAACATGAAATTTTCAAAATGTCTCCCGGGCCGGAGGATTGTACCGCGTATGCTTTGCACAAGCGGATGTTTTGGATGAACCTTTTTTTTGACAAAAACATTAAGTATCATTTCAATTTGAATAAACTATCAAATAAACCAGTCAATGAAAGATTTTATTTTGTTACTTATTTATTTCTTAACGATACAAATTATTTTATATTGACACATAGCCATTACAATTTAACATTTATATTGCATTTCGTAAATATAATAATAAATACAATTCAAAAAAAGAAAAGAAAAACATCAGACGTTAAAATAAATATTTAAAGTTAATGCGAAACGTGAAATCTCGTATGTTCATCTGACATTATCTCTTCAAAATTGGGTTCCAAATCACTTGTAGCAATCCTTAATACTGAGTGTAGATTTTCGTCAGTAATTTGTGATCGATATTTATTTTTCGTGGAAACCATTGAAGAAAAAGTTCTTTCACAAATATATGTCGAACCAAATAAAACAAGGTATTTTTGAACATAGTTCAAAAAATTTTGAAATGTTCGTTATCCAAAGCGCCATAGAAAGCACTCAATTCGTTTGAGTGAAAATTTTCTTTTAGTAAATTATTTGATTGTAAGTCAATTAGTTCTAGTTGAATTTCAACAGGAGCTTCGTGCACATCGAAATTGAAGGGTTGGCTAATTAATGATAAAGGTTTTTCAATAGCTTTGAAATCTTGAAATCTTCTTTGGAATTCAGAATGCAGGTCTTGTGTTATTGCACTATATTTAAAAAAATCTGTATTTTTCAATGATTCTCGCCGTGCTTGCAATGAGGGGAAATGATTTAATAATTTATTATTAAAGTTTTCAGCAAATAAATTGAGTTTTGTCATAAATGCTTTGACGTTTGAGTGCATATTGAAAGCAAATTGGTTTTTTCCTTGTAGATTTATATTTAGTTCATTCAAATATTTTACGATATCTACTGAAAACGAGAAATCATTTAGCCAAGCCTTATTTTGCAATTCAGGGAAATTATGTAGTTTTCCTTTTATCAACAAGAAGGATACTATTTCATCAAGCAAATATTGAAATCTTTCCAAAACTTTACCAATGCTAAGCCATCTCACTTCAGTGTGATATGGAATTTCGTAGAAGTCACTTTCAATTTCTTTCAAAAATTCAAAAAACTGTCGATGATTTACGGCACGTCCTCGGATAAAATTCACAACTTTGGTCACAACAGTAACGACGTGATTCAATTTCAAACTTTTCTGCATAGCACTTCTTGATGAATAATACAGTGCAAAAATAATATATCGTGTTCTGGTTGTAACTCTTTTACTTTGTCGCGAATTCGTTTATGTAAGCCTACATTTTTCCCTGTTAAACTAGAACAACCATCCGTAGTGACGCTTACTATTTTATTCCAAGTTAAACTTACTTTAACTAAACACTCTTCAACAGCGAGAAAGAAGTCTTCACCAGTAGTTGTACCTTTCATTGGATGCACACTAAGAAGTTCTTCGCTAATTTCACATTTCTTGTTAATGCCGCGAATAAATATTAATAATTGACTTGTATCAGTAATATCGCAGGACTCATCTAAAGCCAGAGAACAATAGGTAAAATCAGCAATTTTTGTTCTTAGCTGGTCAAGTAAGTTTCCTGAAATATTTTCAATCCGTCGTACTATTGTTCTTCTCGAAAGGCTTACATTTTCAAAAATATGTTTCTTTTCAGGCCAACATATCTCCGACACTTGTACCATGCATTGTTTAACAAATTCTGCTTCAGAAAACGGCTTACAGAACTTAGCAATTTTGTGCGCGACAACATAACTTGCTTTTGTGGTAGATTTCTCTATATTATTTTGTTTAGTAAAAATATTTTGTTGCTTATTCAAGTTTTTTGCTAAGTTTTCTGCTACAGTTTGAAGTTCTTTTAAAGAAAGTGATGCATATTTTGGATGTTTTGTTGTAAAGTGCCTGTTTAAATTGTATTCTTTGAAAACAGCAATTGTTTCCTTACAAACTAAACAAACTGCTTTCTTATTAATGCTTGTAAAAAGATATTTTACCGTCCAAGCTTCATTGAAGTTTCTGCATTCCAAATCAACTTTCCTTTTTTTAGATTGACTCATTTTACAAAGGTCTACAAATAAATAATTTAATTAATTCAATAAAATAAAACCAATGTTTTAAAATTTTACTTACAAAAAGTCCACTTTTTCAATTTTATATTTGTAAACTAATATTAGACTCGAACAAAAAAGAGTATGCGATCAGTGCTAAATCAGAATTCACAATACGCATGGTGCGACCTGTCGTCTCTCGAAAAGTGAGAGGAGTGCAGCATATGCCGTCCACACATGCAATTCGAACCTAGCGCGATCTCCTTTGTGTTCGACGAAAAAACCGCCCCGAGAGCGATCGTCGCGAGCGATCCACATGAGAATCGCGCGAGGATTGTTTCAAGCACGCGACATCGTTCACACTGGTGTAGTCAGCCGACCGCCCTTTTTTTTACGCCTATTATATATACAGTACGCACACTAATAATGTTGATATCAACAAAATCTCATAAAAGAGTTTAAAAAAAATTCCGAGCGAAATTTTTCGACGGGCCGGATGAAATAAGCAAAAGGGCCGGATCCGGCCCGCGGGCCGGCTTTTGCCCACCCCTGGTTTAGGCTATATTTAAGGTCTGTTTTACCCGTTACTTTTTATTACTATTTATTTTTTTCCGTAAAATCTTGTTAGGATATATAATTTTTTAAAAAAGAACAATGAATCTGTAATTAATAAAAAATATTTTTAGAAAGTGTATTTTATTTTATTAACTAGTATTTTTTATTAACAAATTATAAACGATTTATTTAAAATCTACTTAAAATATGAATCAAGTTACCCATATAATTTTGTTTTCATTTCTAAACATTTTGCACTAAATTTAACTGAAGATGGCAAACGACTTTATGTCGAAAAATCAGGTGATAAAATTTTTTAAAAAATATTTATTATTATAAGAAGCTTATTATTATGAAATTTATTTAATGTTTTTGAAGTTTTTATGCATATTTATCAATATATGTAACTCAACAAGTAAATTTAAGTATATGTATAAATTTATTTAAATAATTATATATATATATATATATATATATATATATACTAATATACGAATAATAATATATATATATATATGACTAATTATGAGTAAGTAAATACAAAAAAGCTAATAATGATTAAGAGTGACAATTGTTTTGTGTAATATAATCTAACATTGAACTTTGTTCTAGTGGTCACTTGAATATTGTCATACTTATACAAATATAAATTTATATATATATATATATATAATATAAATTCTGAAAAGTTCCATTAAAAACCCAAAAAAGCAAAATTATATTTACCTTTGCCATTTCAACTGTATGACCTACATCAGCCTTGTATAAAATTGTCTAAACTTGTATAATTAATATATATATATATTATATTTTATATATATATATATATATATTATATATATATATATATGTATATATACAAATTAAATTTATTTAAGATAAAATTGTATTTTTCATTTTTCCAATCGTGATGCAACATTTTGATCCAACAATAAATATTATTGCATAAATCTTTTAATCTTAATTAAGATAACATAACTATCTTTATTTTTTGTATTACGTGGGTTTAATGGAAAAACAAAAAAAATCAAGATAATACACGTATTATCTTCTAAAACAAGGCTATCTTATAAATAGATTATATTTGGAATGAAAATATATAAGATGGGACTTTGAACTGATTTTTGTGATTAATATCTGATAAGAAATAATATATATATATATATATATATATATATATATATATATATTATATACATATAATGATTTTTTTCGATTTGTTTTTGTTCCAAAAATTGAAAATTGAAATATGCAGTTGTTTAGAGAATTTTATAGGCTTTTTATCTATATAAAATCACATGTATGTGTTTAAACAAGTTTTTGCATATTTTCAACAAATATCAAAAACATCGTACAAACATTTTGATTGCTAAGTTATACGATTTTAAAGTTTGGCAATTTTTTCTAATGTCTTTGTACCAGAAGTCAAAAATTAATGAATGCAGTTATGTTAAAAATTTTATCAGTATTTAACTGTATAAAATTAAATATATGTATTCTAACAAGTTTTTGCACACTTTCAACAAATATAAAAAAAAACGTACAAACATTTCGTTTGCAAAGTTGTACGATGTTAAAGTTTGACGATTTTTTTCGTCATGTTTTTGTTCCAAGAGTCCAAAATCGGTAAATACAGTTATGTACAAAATTTTCATCTTTTCATTCAAATAAATAAAATAAAATACACTTCATAAAAATATTTTTTATTAATTACAGATTCATTGTTTTTTTTACATTATATTTTCATATTGATGTTTTCACATACTAGAGATATGCATAGATTTTACTTTTATACTTAATATAAAAATCAAAAAGTTCTACAGGACATACTATCTGTACTAGGACATTCAAATTATTACACAATATTCTTTGATATGTCTATCAAAAGATGTGATATTTAAATTAATATACTTTGGAATAAAATACTGAAATAAAAAATAGTTTAGTACAAAAGCACACCAAAATGTTCTCAATAGGAATTGAGAGATTTCTAGATGCATTTTAGAAAGCTCTGCAGGACATACTGTTTACACTAGGATATTCAAATTACTGCATTATATTTTTTGATATGTGTCTTAAATTATGTAATTCTTAAATTAATATTCTTTAGAACAAAATAATGAAATAAATAATAATTTATTACCCAAGTACATCACAACGCTCTATAGAAATTGAGAGACTACTAGATGCATTTTTAAAGAGCTCTGCTGGACATTATTTTCTGACTAGGATATTAAAAATATTACACGATATACATCAAAATATGATGAAAAATATGCAATACTTCAATTAATATACTTCAGAGCAAAATAATGAAATAAAAAGTAATTTTGTGGAAAATCAAAACGCTCTATAGAATTTGAATGATTTCTGAA